GAATGACAGAGATGTGTGCAAGGAACTCGGTAAGATATTCTCAGAGGTCTTCATAATACAGCAAAGGAAACAGGCATCTGCTGGAACTGGATGCGACTAAGGCTTTTTGACCAAACAAAATATCACTATGCTAAAAGAAACGGAAGTCCTATGATAGATGGAGTCTATGGTATACAATAAGTCATTGAAACAGAACTATCAAAAGTTTTTTAAACTAAGACTAGTGATCATTAATTAAGAAACTCCGGCTTCTAATTAAGCTCCAATCTAAAAGCAGACCCTAGAGACTGATCTATTTAATGAGCGCATCAGTTTTTCATTATGAATAAACGCTATTTAATGGTAAGATCCAATCATGTTAGGCTCAGCCTGAAGCTGTAGCCAATTGTTTTCCAGAGACTTCAAATATTCGATTGATTTAATTTAGCACGTATTTACGTGTTGAGCGAGAATGTTCTGAATACGAGTCAACCTAGAAATAAACGCTGATGGAGCGATGTTCATGAAAATGGCACAGCCCAGTGAAGCTGTTGAAGGCAGAGCGCCTTTTGTTATAACTGCCACCTTCTGGTTGATCACATAGTTGAGGCAGGTGGAGAACTCTGAGCACATTGACCTTCAACTTGAAATGTCAACATCTCTCCGGTGTTGAAGACTTTGATGTGCTTACCAATCCAACCAGAATGGGTAAAGAAAAAACATACGTCTTCTTATATTATTCTCTACCGTGTTTGGAGTTTTAATAAATAATGGGGGGGGGGCAAATCATCCAGAAGATTGATGCATAATCAAAATGGAAACAAATTTTATTTTGTTAATAGTTTTGCAGCCACTGCTGTCAAGAAAGTATTTCATACATCTCTCCTCTCTCTCTCTCTCTCTCTCTCTCTCTCTCTCTCTCTCTCTCTCTCTCTCTCTCTCTCTCTCTCTCTCTCTCTCTCTCTCTCTCTCTCTCTCTCTCTCTCTCTCTCTCTCTCTCTCTCTCTCTCTCTCTCTCTCTCTCTATCTTTATTACTCTTTATCTCTCTATCTCTGTAATATTCAGAAGGATCAAGACTCAGTATGATGCTAAATGAAACCTGTGCTACATAATAAGACGAGCACCGGAAAAATTACAAAAAGGGAAAGTATGCTGATCTTGTTTCACAATTGTCATAACTTGTTCTTTTTATATTGTTCTTATAGTTATCGCATTTTGTTCTGCCTCTTCTCGCTCACTTTATACACCTTTCCATGTGTTGTTAATGTTTCCGTTGCTTTCTGGAAGGTGTAAGTGGTAGTGACATGGTTGTGGATGGTCCCAGAGGCTCCAGAATATATTGGCCCCTCCTACAAACGTTTGTAATGCATATATATATCCTTATTCCTGCGTGTTGTAAGTAAATGTATATGTTTGTTCGTATTCTTGCATTTCCATTACCGTTACCATAGAGGGGCCCATGTGAAGTCACTGTTCGAGCCGTCCCCCTTTGCTATAGTGTCCGTTATGTCTCCCAGTAGAGTGTGTGGCCCGGACTCTCCCTATTCTCTCATCCTCTGCCCTTCCAGCACCAATCTCTGCCCTCGTCTCCTCTCACCCGCTAGTCTCGTCATTATCTGAATCCAATAGTAATGGAAGGGTATTCAGGCCATTGGTTCCCCTTCTCCCTTTGCCTGGACCCCCAAAACATACGCGGCCATTTATTTAAGCAGGACTAAGCCTGATTTAGAGAGCTACCTTCCCCCTTGCTGTGTTCTGAGGCGCTGCCTCTCCCGTTGCTGTGTCCTGGGTCATTGCCTCTCTCCTTACTGTGTCCTGGGGAGCTGCCTCTATCCGTGTTGTGTTTTGGGGCACTGCTGCTCCCCTTGTATTCCTCATTCATTCCTCTGTTTTTATACACGGCTATAAACCCTGCCTTTGCTTTCCGGGGCCCAAGAAGGTACTGGCCTCATTTCCCGGACCAAGCCGTAGTATCACAGTGCTTATTGTTTACTTTTACTGCTCTACTGACAGTAGCTGCAGTCTTGTGGTGGAACCTTTGCCGCAATCTGTTACAGTCTGTGCTGGATGCCGTACTTTACACAGCTCGCTTCTGCTGACCTAACGCTAGAAGCATTAAAATGTAACCACTGTATCTCTTGGATACATTACGTTGTACCAATTACTATCACATGCTTACATGAACATGATCAAATGAAGATTTTGTTAATTTATTATGCACCTGTAGTATACCCATCCCATTTGCGGTAGTGGGAAGGGCTACAGAGGCACATAATGGGGGCCCAGAAACAGAATCCAACAATTCATTTTGCTAAACAAGTAATAACCTTGTGAAGCTTGTTACACAATTTTATGTATATGTCAATAGTCTTTTATATCAGCAGTGTGTGAAGAAGTGGTCCACAGCAGTCTCCACACACACACACACACAACAATTTACATCTGTGGTGAGCCAGTTACTCATCATGTTCATCTATTTCACTTGCTCATCATGTTCCACATGCAGAGATGCACAAAAATTACTGTTTAAGATAGGAAAATCGAGACTTGCATAGTAGTCCAGTACAATGCAGTGCCACGCTATAGACTACAATGCAACGGAGTGTAATGCAAATTCAGGACAATCCCGTGCTAGGCAATAACGACAACATAGAGCCGCTTGTGCCTGTATTGCTTGTTTGTGTCTTAGAAATAAAATCTACATGTAAAGTGTATATTGTAGCCATCTACGAGTGTGTGCAAGTTCTCACCTAATTGTGCTATGAGAGGAGGTTGAGCTTTGGCTCTTTAGTCCTGATTGTTAACTTTATGAGACCTTCCTGGTGTCTATGCATGTGCTTCTTTGTGTAGGTTACACACGCGGCTGGAATTATGTATTGGAATATAATTATGTACTGGAATATATGTATGGAATGTATAGTTGTCATGTTTGCAATGTATATCCCTCCCCTCTCCTGCCCCAACAGTCCCTCCTTCCCCTTCCCACCAATCCCTCCCTTCCCATCACCAGCCCCTCTCTATTCCCTTCTGTTTCTCCTCCTCACCTGTCCCACTTTCCCCCACACCAATCTTCTCTTTCAATTTCACCAGCCTTCCTCTCTCACCAGCCAAGTTACAGCCCCGCTCCTGGGCCAGGTAAGTCCACTAGGGGCTCACCATAGCCCGTGCTACTTGGAACTTTTTATTCCCAGTAGCTGAACCTATAACAACAACAACATCTCGTCAGCCTTACCGGTCCCTCACTAGCGCTTCCTCACTTCACCAGCCCTCCTCCTCCCCCCTCTCTCCTCCATGGTGTCGGTACCAATACCTTCCGCCATGATTGTCATGGATGTGGCTCGTGATTGTTATTGCAAAATCCTTGAACCTTATATTGCACTTGGTGAGACTGCTGCCACCCTTAACCTTCCCTCCCTCACTCCCTCCCTCCAACCAATTTCCCTTCCTCCACCACTCTCCCTTCCTGGTCCATCCTACCCAATCCCTCCCTCCTCTATCCCTCCCTTGCCTATCCACTCCCCCCTCCACAATTCTTATTTGCTTTAATCCGGCCGCATCTCAAGTACTCTCCTGTACCACTACAAGCCTCAAAGAAAATTAACATGCAAAAACAACAGGCAGTGCAAAACAAAGCGTCAACAGGAATAACAAAACATCATCCACCGTATGACCAAAGAATTTTGGAACTCCATGAAGCTCTAAACATGCAGCTACTGAACTTGAGACTACTACAGCAAGCCACTAGGGTGTGGGTTATGAAAGAAATATTAGAAGGCCCAGTGCTAGTAGGATGCCCAATGCTCCAAGATGTGACGCCCAACTCACACAGCTGAAGAGCCAAGAGTTTAGCTCTACGGGATGGAAATGAAGTCCCATTCCTAGGTGAAATACAGACGAGAACCATCTCCTTAATAAAAAATAAACAATACTTAAAACCTTTGTCCTACCAGCACTGCCTGCATTCCTTCTCCCCTTGATTTTTACTCCATTATTTCATTCCTCATTCATCCCATTATTTCTCTAAGTATGCCTCATTTATCCAACCTTATCTCTTTCCCCTTCTCTCCGTCCCCTCTACGTCAGTCCTTGAGGTAAACCACAATATACCTGTCACTATACAACCTCAAGCTATAGACGGAAATTGTATATGATTATGTGTGTATGCGATCTAAGTTATATAAGCTTGTGGGTATGAAAGATTAACTCGTGGGCCCGCCTTTTTCCATTGTTACCTTGAGCCCCTCTGTTTACTTCTAAAGTTTTAAATTGAATTGTCCTCCATTTTCTCTTCCCAGAGTTTAATTATATATTTGTTCAGTTCTGGCACACTGAAGAAGTTCTTGCATATATTCCTATGGCTAATTTGTTTCCACCTAGAAGACATATCCGGCTATGCCCAGGTCTCTTTCCCGCCTCCTCTCTTTCCTCCTTCGGTCCCCTCCTCTTACATTCTTCTTTTCCCCTTGCTCTTCTCACCCCCCTTCCTTCCCCTCTTCCCTGCCGCCCCTTCCCCCCTCTTTCCCAGGAAATTTATTATTATTATAATCCACTCTAACTGCTGAACAACATGTTGGGAAACACTACAAATATTTCAGACCATGAAATATCTCACGGGTAGGATGGGTCTCTATAAATGCCGATATTTCTTAAAATATTTCACTTGGACCAACACCGACTGGCTTATGACACTCCCATACTCAACTTGATTCCTCTTGCAAAGTCGGGCGAGGCTAGTTGCCAAGCGCCCACACTCCAAGTTTGGACATTTTGTTTCATATTGATTAGAAATTTAGCAAAGCCCTGGAGCCAGAATCACGAAGCAGTACGCAAGTACTTACGAACGTGTACATCTTTCCTCAATCTTTGATGGCTTTGGTTACGTTTATTAAACAGTTTACAAGCATGAAAACTTCCCAATCAACTGTTGTTATTGTTATAAACAGCCTCCTGGTGCTTCGGAGCTCATTAACTGTTTAATAATTGTAAACAAAGCAGCTAAAGATTGAAAAAAAATGTACAAGTTCGTAAGTGTTTGCGTAACTTCTTCGTGAATCTAGCCCCTGGAGTTTATCATTTTCGTTTTTGTGTCACTGGGTTCCATGACTGTGCCGGTTACTCCATAGGTTGCGTTAAGTGTTCTTAAGGGATTATCTTTATTTACGCTCGGGAATTCTCTTCTTAGGTCTTCTGGTTTTGCATTCACTGCTGATGTTATTAACTTCAGGTGTGTTGTTAGCTTCAGGCTCACTGCAATGTTCTTCTCCCTTATTCTCAATTAGTTAATCCGGTCTTTTATTTCTCTTCTCTATTTGTATAACTCTGCGTTTATTGGGGCTGAGTTCCAAAAGTAATTCATCTGACAATTCGTTCAGCTTTGTTAGGTCCTGTAGCCATGTGTTTATTATCCGCACCAGCTTCGCTTCTGCACGTAGCTACAGGAATAAGTCCACCTTTTTAGGTAAGTTCTTTTCATAGAACAGAAAAATAAGGACACCCAATACTCATCACTATGGGACTTGAGACAGGTCAATTATATAGATAATTCACGTGCTAAATTAAACTACATTCTCCTAAATGTGGCGACAGTTAGATATACAAGCAACGAGTTCCGAGGCCTCCATTACCCTGTGATTCCTGTGACCCTTTGTAATTAACAACCATTGATAGAAGACACAAGATGATTAAACGTCCAGCTTTGCAGGTACGATTCATCAATCTGTTTCATATCGTCCTCAAATGTCCACTTCATGGGGAAACAAAAATGTATTGTAAAATATAGCCATTCAATCATTAGCTATCGCTTCAACCCACTGTATCTACCACTAGATTGGTGGGGGTCGGGTTGGTGTGTATATCGTAATTAAAGAGAAGTAAATCTATTGCCTACCATTCCTGTGAAGGTTTCGTTATTGAGTCGTGTTGGGCATTGGCTTCCACCAACCTTTTAGTTGCCTGATCATATTCCCATTTGTTTTTGTCCATTGTCAACTCATTATCCATCCATTACCAAAGCAGTGACATCAGGTATTTTTGGGTTATTGGTGTAGGTGGATGAAGTATGGAATAGTCTTCAAAATTGATCTCTCTCTCTCTCTCTCTCTCTCTCTCTCTCTCTCTCTCTCTCTCTCTCTCTCTCCCGATGCTCGTAGAATTTTAAAGCATTCACTCTGCACTTTTCAATCTCATTTGGCTAAGAGTTTGGAGTTTGATATATAAGGTCACTGAACATTTTTCCCGTTTGGTGTGACGAGTGTCAGAGTTCAAAAACTCTTGGGTTCAAGGCGTTAAGTGAATGACAACATTTTGCCTTCCTTGGAAATGGCATTCTGGTTTTCACTCAAGGATTTATTCACGAAATTACATAAAATAAAAACAACGCTTATCACTCCTGCTCTGAATTTCAAGTCCTCATTATTAAGGGTTGAGACGAAGCTGTTCTTTGTTGCTGGGGTCCGACTCTATGTCTGTGCCGAAGATTGCGTCAAGATGTGTGTACACAGAGCTTCAGGTCACACTTCCTCACGCTGTGCTGGAGACTGGAGAAGTTTAGATTATGAAACCCTGGATAAAAATTGGTTTCGAAACAGAGTTGTTAATCTCGATTGTTTCAAACGTAGGTTGGACATGTATACGAGTGAGATTGGGTGGAAATAAATAGGAGCTGCCTAGTATGGGCCAATAGGCCTTCTGCAGTTACCTTTGTTCTTATGTTCTTATCTATGGATCAACATTAGAGTGAAACGTAATAGACATGTAAATTGTTTAAAGTACAGGTCAGACATGTATATTATTATTATATACAAAAAATTGGGTGGATATAAATAGGTGCGGTTTCGTATGGGTCAATTTGCCTTTTGCAGTTTCCTTAATTCTAATGTCATTATCTCACCCCACCCAGTGCCACAGTGACGTAGTACTGACAAGTGAGGAGTGAGAGGAGAGGAGAGACTGGGAGAGGAAGAAGAGAGGTGGGTTAAGATTATACCCACTCAAATTCACTTGCCTCTCAACCATCTCTCCTCTACACTACTGTAGTGGTCGGTCGATAAACGTACAGAACAACACCAGATGTTCCCAGTCGTAGAGGTCCATCCACCAATCACATCAGCGTCGGTGAGGTCCATCCACCAATCACATCAGCGTCGGTGAGGTCCATCCACCAATCACATCAGCGTCGGTGAGGTCCATCCACCAATCACATCAGCGTCGGTGAGGTCCATCCACCAATCACATCAGCGTCGGTGAGGTCCATCCACCAATCACATCAGCCCATCGAGGTTCCCATACTCCCACCAATCTTGGAAGTCCTCGCCATTCTCTCCTCACCACGACTCCTACCAGCCTTCCTCAAGCTGCCTTGTGAATCGCACCCTCTAATGAGTGACGCATCTCTGCGTATTTGCATCTTGGGTCGTGCCAATAAGAGCCCCTTCTCATGTGAGGTGCCTGAGGCGCCTCCAGTGCTGGCTGGTAGGATCAGGTCGATCCTGCCAGCCAGATGATTAGGACGATGTTGCATTTGTCTCTCTTGCTGTCCAGTGGAGAGGGAAGGTAGGATGGGGCCGTCTGTCCAGTGACGTGGACAGGGAAAGTAGGATGGGGCCGTCTGTCCAGTGACGTGGACAGGGAAGGTAGGATGGGTTTAAACTACTACTCTTCTTCTCTTATCACCTGTGCTTGTTTAACAAAAATTATCTATTACTTTAATATGTTTGTTAAGTAATTGCCCATTACTTGTTAATATGTTTGTTAAGTAATTGCCCATTACTTGTTAATATGTTTCCTTGTGTATCATTCCTTTTGTAGTGGTCCTTGTGTACCGTATCTTGTGTACCGTACACACGTAATACAGCATCTACATATCCTCATCTGCGGTGAGCAAGTCTCAACTCTTGGGCCCTGCCTTACAGGTACATCTCTGCTTCCTCTGACGCTTGGCACGTTCCCTCCTGAATTTGTGAAAGGGGTCTTCTCTTTGCCTCCATGCTATGCACCCATGGTATCCTCTCACCCTCCATGCTATGCCCCCATGGTATCCTCTCACCCTCCAGAATATGCCCCCATGGTATCCTCTCACCCTCCAGAATATGCCCCCATGGTATCCTCTCACCCTCCAGGATATGCTCCGATGGTCTTCTCTCTCCCTCTATGATATGCTTCTATTGTCAGTGTTTCAACCAACAAAATGTTTAGAGCATAAAATAAAAACAGGCTATCCAAAAATAATTAAATTTATCTCAATCCAGGAACTTCATTTATTAATGCAATTATGAAACAAATCAGTTTTGATAACTGACTAATACGTATGTAATTCGACCTAGGGCCCAATTAATATGATAATTCACCGAACCCCCTCAAATAATATTGCAAAGATTATACTAAAGTATGACTTGATGAATCACTTAAAATGCTGTATTATACATTAATCGCGTTGTTATCACTGAGTAATGATAAGTTTAGTGTAATTAATGTATTGTTCTGACATTAATGAAATAGATTATGATACCATTGATTAGAGGAATCTTATATTTAATATCCACACGCACACACACACATATATATATATATATATATATATATATATATATATATATATATATATATATATATATATATATATATATATATATATAATTGTAAGAACTATATCGTGTCTTCCCCCTCAGTATTGACTAACAGCTAAATCACTTGACTACCAATTAGACCTTAAAGATTACTCTTCTCTGGCAGTACCTGTGGTGGCTGTGACGGGGGTGAGAGGAGAGGAAGTGGCACTGCCCTGTGAAGTATCTGGCACTCCTCACGATGACCTCTACCTCTTGCTGTGGTTCAGGGAGCCTCTCACCACCCCTATCTACAGGCAAGTCTCGTGCTCCACTACCCTCTCATTCCCTGGTATCTTCAGGTAAATCCATCTTCTCATTAACCCCCCACATCTACAGGTGTCTCTATCCCCCCTTACCACCCTTATCTACAGGTGAGTCTTAGCCTGCCCCTCCCCCTTATACAGGTGTCTCATGCATCCATTCATCACCATCACTATATACAAATAATTATCGCACCCCCATTATCTCTTGTAATTAATGTATATATGGGAAAAAATCCTTATAATTCGCCACCCATATCTGTAAGGCAAACTTACCTCTTTTTGCCATCCAATCCTCTAACATCTATTTTTACGGATGAATGTCACCCTTTTCCCACCTATCCAACCTTCCATCACCCATTTCTACGGAGGATAGTCCTTCGTCCCAATTGGGTGGGTAAAAACACGACCATCCGTGGCTTTACCATCCCCGGGGGCGCGCGTATGTGTGTGTAAATACTAATCCAGGACCCTTCTGCAGCAGCGGCGTATACAGGGTGCTTGAAGTGTTTGCCCGGGACGTGAGCGTACGTGGGCGTACGACCCGTCGAATTGCACGGCGTTGCATGAATCTGGTCGAGTACGAAAGACTCCTCGCTAGTGGAACACGGGCCTAAGGCAAATCGCTGTTTGAGTTGTGGTTCTTGACGGAGGTTCGGATGTGTGAAATGCTTAGGTGGTTGGGTTATGGTGGTTGTGATGGTGGTGGTGGTGGTAGTGATTGTGGTGGTGGTGGTTGTGATTATGGATTCAATGGCTGTGATGGCGGTGGTAGTAATGGTGGGATTGGTAATGGTAGTGGTGTTAATGGTGGGATCACAATAACAAGTCATGGTTTTCCTCTAGAACCAAAACAGTAGTAGTCGTGGTTCTCTCTACGAACAATTCACCAGCATTTCTTCTCACAACAGCAGAGAAACGCACACACAATAACCTACATGTATACGGGGCATGTGTCTACATCTGCAATGGCTAATTTCTAGACGAAAGTGTAATTCTTATGTCATCAATAACCGCGTTTTGATCTGTAATTGTTGTGATCAAAGACAATTCTTGGACGCGAGTTCGATCCCACACACGCTTCAAAGATATCAATTATATATCTCGCTCTTGTGACTTCGTTGTGTAAAATAATAATTTTTATTTTGGTAAATATTTTGGGGGGGGGGGTGAATAATAACAAACCATTTAACAACTATGATCTCGTGGTATATTAACCCCATGACCTCTCATCGTTAACAAGAATGACCTCATTTGTTGGGGGGTAGAAATAGCCTAAGCTACTCTATCTCATTGAGATATATTTCTTTCTTATCTCAATAAACATACTTGAACTTGAACCTCATTTGTTGGCAGGTTGGACGAGAGGTCAGAGGAGGAGACGCAGTGGTCAGATGAACGCGTGCTGGGACAGCGAGCCAGCCTTGACCTAAGGTCATCTCCAGCCGTGCTCCGGGTCACTTCCCTGACCTGGGCTGACCAGGGCCTCTACACCTGTAGGGTCGACTACCGTCTACAGCCCACCAGGACTACGAGAGTCAACCTCACCGTCGTAGGTAACGTTCTCTGTCTTACGAGGTCGACCTCTTGGTCACAGTAGCTTCCCGCTCCTACTTACACCCACCTATTTCGACTCTTTTTATTGTTTTGTCACATATTTTTTAAACTTGGCTACCAAGTTAGTTAATATAATACTAACTGATGGTATCCGCCTCCATGAACAGCTTTTAAGCCATAATCGAGATAGAATTCGAACATCAGGTAGGAACTGTTCGGTAAATACTGGTAAGTTATTTATCACCCTCCAATCATCCAATCACCACACCACCACCCTACCCAATAACCAACCAATAGGGGGGGGGCAGAAATAGCCTAAGCTACTCTATTGCTTTGAGATGTATTTTTTGCTTATCTCAATAAATATACTTGAACTTGAACCAACCAATCCCTCTCCTACATAATCCCTCCAACTCCCGTACCCGTACTTACTCTCGTACTAATCTCTCCCGTACTTACGGGCTATTCATGCTCGTGCCACCTCTTGTGGTGGCTTAATCTTCAACAACAACTCTCCCGTAACCTCTTTAAACTGAGAGAAAATAAGTCAACATGACACCAATGGAAGCAAATTTGTCGAAGAAACCGCCAGTTGGAAAAACCAGTCTTTCAAGACCTGAAGTTAGGTCCTGAAAACTCTTTTAGGTAAGTACTTCTTTAGTCTCCCGCCCATACCACCATTCTCTCCATATCATTCAATTACATCAATAAATATCAAATGATTCAATACCCTGAGTCGGTATTTTAAGACGGAAAACGCCGTAAACGCCGTGAAAAAAAGGCTTTTCTTACGCCATCGTAAGAAAAGGGGAAACTCAATGAGGACATATATAAACCAACACGTGATGAAATAAAGAGCTTGAAGAGCGTGATGAAATAAAGAGCTTGAGGAGCGTGATGAAATAAAGAGCTTGAAGAGCGTGATGAAATAAAGAGCTTGAAGAGCGTGATGATATAAAGAGCTTGAAGAGTGTGATGAAATAAAGAGCTTGAAGAGCGTGATGAAATAAAGAGTCAGGGAGATAGAACGAGGAACGACCAGTAAACAACAAAATCTCTCTGGACCCTTGGTGTTGTGTACTGAGCAGGTGTCGACACTCTTATGGCTTAAAACAAACCAAGAAGCAAAAATAAATCGACAGCAAAACACCTGAGAGAAATTTGTTAGCTCTGCCGTGTGTGCTTGTGAAACACGTCGAGTGGCAAATGGAAAAAAACAGGGGTCGGCTTAGGAGGAGGAGGAGGAGGAGGAGGGTATTGGAGGAGGATTAGAGAGGAAGAGGAGGAGGAGGAGGAAGAGGAGGAGGAAGAGGAAGAGGAGGAATGAAGGGGACTGTGAGTTGGGTGCATATTTTTATTTTGTTTTATTTATATATACAAGAGTTCTTAAATTCTTATACATATTCTCCCTCCTATTCCACTCTCACTTGCTTCCTTCTCCCTTTGCCTCTATCCTCTTTCATTACCTTTTGCTGCACGCTACCCCCCCCCCATTTTTCTTCCCTTGTACCCCTCCCTTTCCTCTAGTAAAATTATCTTTAAATGGTAAGAGGGAAATTCTTGACCCAAGGGGCAGGTGCGTAGCTGAGTATGGCTTGTGAAGCCTCTCTGGCTGAAAGGATATGGGGAAGATGAGAGTCTTGGTTACACTATTCTTTTGACCTAAAGGATAGGTGACAGACTAAGTGTTTGCTAATACCCCTGTCTTGTCTTCCCATCTTCTCTTGACAACTGGCATCTTCATCCCTTCCTATTTTCCTTAGCGTTTTCCTGCCCCTTTTTAAAATATCTAATACAAAAATTAATTATATATTTAACATAATATTTAATATAATATCGTGTTTCACATATTTACACAATTAAACTCGCCCACACCATCAGAACAGTTTAATCACAAATATCAATTCCCTTTTCTTCGTAAAGACACATAAAATAGTTTGTTGGCAGTTTAAAAATAGGGTCCGACTCCAGCCAGAAACAGCCGAGAAAAATGCCTGACTAAAATTCCAGACTGAAGAACCCTTTTTATATTGGTAAACAAAGGCACACACGCTGAATGTTCAATGGGCGGTCGTCTCCGCTGCTTCTGGAAGTACTACTAAAGTTAGTTTAAATATTATGATCAGTATTTTATATCTGAATATATTCTAAGTTCACATAAGACCATATAACAATAACATGATATTTTGAGAGTCTTATTAAGTTGTACATAATAACTAATGATATTACGAGAGACTGAAAACATTAGAAATACCTGTGAGGATATATGGACAAAGAGCAGAATTGGTCTGATAAGTGGTTACTCAAGTTCAACCCTAATACGTGCAAGGTGACGAGTCTGTGATTGGTGGGAGTAACTGCATATATGTGCACTAGGTTAATGCTCACTAATGTATATACCTTAGTGTTGGTAATAATACAGAATTTCTACCAACGTCCTGTAAGCAGACTGATGTGTCTCTGTGCACAGTTCGGTCTCCCCACTCTCTTTCTCTCTCTCTCCCACAGCGCCGCCTGAAGGGGTGAGTATAATGGCCGGTGTTCCGAACGCCTCGCAGGCAGGACACATTAGCCTGGGTGGACCTTACCTACTGGGAGATGTCCTCAGCTTCACCTGTGTGGCGCATGGAGGTAGGTCCCTGGGAAGTTCAGCGTGGAGGAGTGCATGTGTATAAGTGTATATTCTTCTGTGTGTGTGTGTGTGTGTGTGTGTGTGTGTGTATGTGTGTGTGTGTGTGTGTGTGTGTGTGTGTGTGTGTGTGTGTGTGTGTGTGTGTGTGTGTGTGTGTGTGAGTGTGCGTAAAGTCAAACTACCATTATTATCCTGTGACGCCTTCCCAGACAACCACCGAGGGTATTAAGATACTACCAAGATAGACTACATAGGCTAGTTGCTTATATTTTCCCAAGACAACTTTTCTCTCTGATTCTCCTGTGATCCTGAGAATCACAGTCACATAATAATGTAACTGTACCTATTTGTACAGTTTATTTGTCATATTATTATCCACACAATCACTCATATATACCAGTAGAGGTAATAGTTAGAAAGCCATCAGATTGATACATAGATTGTTACTGATGTTCTTAGAACTGGTATATAGTTACAATGCCAATTACGTTAACAATACATAGGAAATCACCTCCATTTCTGAATGATTAATAACATTGCGCTCATTTAGATGTTTAAATATCAATGAATCTGGCTAGTAACTGGTTGGGGTGACCGTGATAGGTTTAAACAAACAGGTCACCTGCAACCCGACAAAGGAAAAAAATTAGACATCTCTCATCCATTAATTAAGGCATACACCTCTGAGTTGGCATAGATCAATACTAAACTGGATTTGTATCACTCCCTCGGAAGTTCCATAAAAACGACAAATATTTGTCTGCGAACCTTCATGCATGTATAATCAACTTGCAGAGCGGACTTTTATACCAATAATCACTCTCCTGGGACTCCCCCGCTAGCCTCACTTGTAAACAAAGCCTGACACGTTTTTCTTCTGTTTACCGCGAGTTCCTGCATTCACTACTGCCTAAAAGAATTTTACATTTTTTGTTTTGGTTTATGCTCTTGTGCTTGCGTTTCCGTGTTCCTTGGAATTCTCGCACTATTTTGTTATTTATCCGATGTCTTTTGGAAATGTTGGCGATTTCGCTTCTGCCTTTCTCCCCATATTCATCAAGTTTTATATTTACGAACTTCAGTTCGCTTATTAATTAAATTTCTATTATTTGTAATTCTTCATTTCGATGTTCTTCGAAGACTTGTAAACAATTTATTCCCTGAGGAGTGTTTTTAGACATTAATATTATTTATTTCTTCAGTGCAGTAATTAATGCTTTGGCTGATAAAATGTTAAAATTCTCACATTATTTTACATAACCTCTGCTTATTCATATGATTATTATTACTTTTATTATTTATTATTTGCTTTTTTGTTTGTCTGTAATTGAAATTCTAGGTATGCTCAAATAGTTTTCAAATTTCGTATGTCACATGTTGGAAAGTAATAAAGTGTGTTAACATGACCAAGCCTACCAACCATGGATAGAGGGTAGATACCGGCACTAATTACATAGGGATTTTGAAGTGATTACCTCCAAGGTTAACTCCTCCCTAAGGACATATTAGTTATAACACATTATTATTAATTACTTTTATTATTATTATTACTATCTTTATCAAATCTATAAATTGCAGATATACCAGAGACAAAATTAAATATATTTTCAGATATTAAAAATGACAGCGAGACATACATATCCTTTGGTGGTATACAGCTGCTGGACATGTTATTTTCTTCAGGTGCTGTCATTATTCTCCGCCTAGATTGAATTTTGATGACCCACATTTTCCTTTCCTGAGCCGCATTTTCATTTTTTTCTTTTACAAATTTAAAATTGTTTATCTGTCGAAGCAAACTTGTAGCCATATTTTGGCATAATGTAATTTTCATCACTGCTATTTTTGTCATGGTTTTTTTCATCTATTTTCATAAAAGATTAGATATTATAATATCCGTTTTGTATTAGACAATATTTCGTAGAGATGATTCATGACAGAAGTGTATAAGGAGCTTTTCTATACTGAAACTACGATACATTCGTTGTATCCATACTTTGTCATCCATGGATCTAATTTTATCACTCTCTCACTTTCAAACACAAACTAAATTCAACCTATTTCGTCGTTCCCATACTTCAGGCATTGAACATAAGCATCATAAACACAACACAGGCCTATAATATATATATTGCGCTCTCTCTCTCTCTTTTACATCACTAGACTGATAGCGGTTCAAGAGCTGAAGCTTAATATTACAGGCATAAAGAGAGTAAAGTACCACACACACACACACACACACACACACACACACACACACACACACACACATTAGGAAGTGATGTGGTGGAGGCTGACTCCATACACAGTTTCAAGTGTAGATATGATAGAGCCCAACAGGCCCAGGAACCTGTACACCTGTTGATTGACGGTTGAGAGGCGGGACCAAAGAGCCAGAGCTCAACCCCCGCAAGCACAATTAGGTGAGTACAATTAGGTGAGTACACACACACACACACACACACACACACACACACACACACACACACATGGGCATCAACTGCCAGTTATGCAGCTCATATTCCTGGACATAACCTGCCACCACTGCTAAGGAGACAACCATAAAAACAGAAATAGCGAGAGGGTTAGCGAGCGAGCCATAAATACCTGGTCAGTATATGGCCATTCAGCTGACTGTCGTACCAGGACTAAAGAGCACAGCTTCTCTCGGCACCCCCTTGCTGTTGTCATATATCCTGAGAGAGAGAGAGAGAGAGAGAGAGAGAGAGAGAGAGAGAGAGAACTGACGAGAGAAGGGGAGTGTACTGCAATATGTCATCTGTCACCCACAGGTACTCCGCGTCCTAGCGTCGTCTGGTACCGGGGTGCGCACCTCCTGGACGCTCTCATGGAGTCAGATCTCCTACAGGAAGGCGCTGACCAAGTCTCAGAGGCTCCTGGGCCGACAGCACTCCCTCTGGGGGACACCACGAAGGTGATGCCCTATGGTGGTGAGCCCTTCAACACGCTTCACTTGCAACCTCTCAGACGCGACCACCTTCTGCAGGAGTTCAAGTGTGAAGCATCTAATACTAACCTCACACTGCCCGCATCCTCCATCCTCACCCTCGACATGAACTGTGAGTAGGATTTTATCCCACGTATGTTTTTTTTTTTAATCCCATGTGGGTGGGATTATATTCCATGTAAATGTGGTATTTTCTCTATTTAAGTTATGATTTTGCACCTATTAATAGTGGGGGGTTCCCTCTGTGAGTAGGATTTACGTCCTTTTGAGGCAGCAGTAATCGCTATATAAATAAGGATTATCTTCTTACAGCTTATTACGGGCTATTCATGCCCGTGCCACCTCTTGGGTGGCTTAATCTTTATCAATCACTTACAGCTTAGAAGAAAAAAACACTAAATAAAATATTATCCAAAACATCGTTTTCAACTTGAGAGGAATTTTGTATCAACTTTAACTTGAGAATTATTGACTAAGTTTTAAGTGAGCTGAAGAACTACAACGAGTAGTGAGGACAACTTGGTCAACATAACAGTGCTGACGCTGCTTGTTGTTCATAATATATGCCACCTGGAAAGTATTGATTATAGAGGCCGTGATTCCGTTCGCAGTTCATGTTGAAAATCTTTTTATGAAAGCTAAAGAGCTTCAGAACTCTTTTTTTTCGATTTTTTGTTTACAAGTCTCAAAATTACAATAACCTTAAAATGACAAACAAAGAGCTGAACAATGTGTGTGTCATTGCTGTTATCTCCTCTCCGTCTAGTGCTGCTGGTGCTGAATGAACTCAGACATGTCTTAAATTTTTCACCAAGTATATGAAACCAAATAAGTAACTACCATTTTTTTCTAATCATATCAGTTTGCTTGTAGAAAGCGTCTTGAATAACGCGACCTTGATGTGGTTGCTGTGGATAACTTTACCTACAGATAAAGCTACAGAAATCTCTCTTCTACATCGTACTTAAACCTTTTAACTCATTTCCCTTTTGCAGATGCAGGCCTAACGTAAGACAAAAGAAAATCGCTCTAGCATATCAAAATGTGTTTCTGTTACCAAATTCGAACATGTTTATCTGAACGAAGCTGGAAAAATTAATCCATCGAAGTTTCCCTTTTACCTGGCCCAGAACCGGTCAGTGGATGAAAATGTTAATTGTCAGTAAAATTAGCAGAGAGGTTCAGGCACTGAAGCGATAACTAACATACTAAGAAACACACAGACTTACGAAGAAACTTAGTCTCGGAAACTAAATGATTAATACTCGCAGTCTGAGACGCTAACAGTGAGAAATTGTTATTGTGAGAAATAACAGCCTAAGAGACTATGGACTCACAAATTAAGAAACTGACAAACTCACAGACTAAAAGAACTAGCAGCTAAGATGCGTGTTTTGTGTCTCTCACAACTTAAAACGGGTACCTTTTTTTCTCCACAAATCCTATACTCAGTCACATTCACACATCGTCATTTCATTTGAAAACACCTAATTTATAGTTTTATCGTTCAAATATTCATTTATATTCATAATCTACTCATAATCAATGCAGCTTCACTACGTTGAATAACGTAACTATGACCTAAGTTATCCTAATTTAAAATAACTTAAACTAACCTATGCCCAAGGTAATCTAGCCGAACCTCACTAAGCACAAACACACTTAACCTAACCTAACCTAACCTAACATAACCTAACCTAACTGGATCTGGTACATAGCTCGACGCGAACTCCCTACATTAATCAACAATATTTCATCAGCTCGTAAAGTTGAGAACTATAACACTTACCTCCTTCGACCGTCCACCAGATGTCGTCTCTCCTTCCCTTCTCTACGAGGTCCCGTCTCTCCTCTCCTCTGACAAATATATTGCAATGCAGATTTGTTTTATAACGAAAACAATTAAATTAAATGAATTGGAGAGCGGCAAGTCTAAGAGTCTGAGAGTTGAAGAAAACCTAAGACTGAAAAAAGCCGAGGATAAGAATGGAGTAGGAGGGGGGAGTGAGGAGAATGAAATGCAAGGAGAAAACGAACGAATTAGTGGAAGAATTGACTTGTGTTCACTTAGCTTAATGAAACACAAAGGTGGATGCGGCGTCGACAAGTATATGACATTAATTGTAATTAAATATAAACATAATCTTCAACAACTGCATATCAACGATATACTAATACAATATTCATACATGAAACATTCTTTTAAACAACATATGCAAACGGTATAATAAATTTGTAAACACGTCAAGCAAATAGTTTTCCCAGCATGCTTAAAACTCTCCTACATTTCAACCCTTTATTGATACATCTTACATGCGCTTTTAACATGCTACAGTTCACTCCTTGCTTCCCTTAGTGCCGCCCTTGAGCGTGGCGATCCAGACTCCTGACGACCAGCTCCTGAGGGCGGGACGGGAGTACCTGGCGGTGTGTCTGGTAGTGGGCGCTCGACCCGCGGCCACCATCACCTGGTGGAGTGGTCACCAGAGAGTACTTCAGGCCACGGTGTTGGTGAGTGTCCGGGGCAAGGGGCTGGGGGACCTGAAGCACCGATACCGGGGGGCTTGACGCCGGTATTGGTGTCGGACCCAAGGGGGCGCTTTAAAAGTAAGAAAATCTTGTGATGATCATGCAAAACAATGATCTCACTTCTGTTGTCATTTTCCCATTACACGCCTCCTTTTACTTTCCTCACCCACCATTTTCCCCTCCCACAATTTTCTCCTTCTGTGCTTTCTCTATCGTATCTTTCCTATCCCTTGGCAGGATGGTGGGGGAGGGACCAGAGGGCCGGGGTGGAGCCGGACGGAGTAAGCAGGGACGTAACTCTCTGTAAAAGCCGCCACAGCAGTAAATGTAATCATAACTGCTGGTCCACAAGTTATTACGGCTCGCTTATTTATAAAGCAACTCCCCTGGCATTAATATCCAACCTCACCATCCTGGCCATTGTTCAGGAGGCTGGGTAAGGGGGTCACACACACACACACACACACACACACACATAGGGGGGTCTGGTAGCTGAGTGGATAGGGCACGGGATTCGTAATCCTGTGGCCCGGGTTCGATTTCTGGACTATGCAGAGACAAATGAGCAGAGTTTCTTTCACCCTGATGCACCTGTTACCTAGCAGTAAATAGGTACCTGGGAGTTAGACAGCCTTTACGGGCTGCTTCCTGTGTGTGTGTGTGTGTGTGTGTGTGTGTGTGTGTGTGTGTGTGTGTGTGTGTGTGTGTGAAAAATTTTTAGTAGTTAGTAACAATTGATTGATTGACAGTTGAGAGGCGGGCCGAAAGAGCAGAGCTCAACCCCCGCAAGCGCAACTAGGTGAATAAACACACACACACACACACACACACACACACACACACACACACACACACACACACACACACACACACACACACACACACACACACAGCCATTATTGTAAGGGCAGCCTTACAATAACAGGTGAAATTAATTCAGGTGGTCAAAGGAAAGGCCTCAAGCCGTCTCCCTGTTGAATGAAACCTCGTGAAATCACTACAATAGCACCCATCTCTCCATGGAGCTCTTCATATCCTTTCTCAGAGACGAGAAAAAAATCTGAATGAAATATAAAGGCTTTCTTATCTTTCAGTTGGTTACAATATTTTTAATACATTTTGGCATTATTTTTTAAATAGGGAAAGTGAGGTAGTAGTGGAGGAATTTAGATAATGAATTTTGTGTTTAAGTTTTCGACAATTGACGATTTAATTATCAAGTCAGCAGATAAGTAAATTTAAGATAAAGTCTTTACATTCAACAATTTTGACGGGAAATATAATTTGAAATTTATTTTCCTCCGTTAAACAATGATACACTTAATATGCGTAATGTCCTGTAAGGTTATATTAGTGAACCGGAAGCATGAAGGGCAGCGAACTCAGCTTAAGTTAGGTTAACGTCTATTGTCAGAAATTTGTTTCAGTCGATAATCACGAAAGCCGCTCCTGTTCATCTTGATAAATAAGGGCTAATAAAGGTTCACATTATGGCTTTACTAAGGACTGTTTGTGTTTGACAAATGTATTCTCGTTCTTTTTGTGTATATTTCTTTACAATACAGACAGGTTTCTAGTCAACATATCGTGAAGTTCACATCGTAATGAGTTCAAATTTAGGATAGATATGTTTGAGTATAAAGTATGTCTGGTACTGAATTTGAACGACGTGGAACCATAGCAACAAAAATTGTTCTCGTGCACGTTTAAAATCCCCATATCTCTCTCTCTCTACGTGTATTTCGCCTCCAGACCTCGGAGGACCAGAACGTGACCGCAAGTAGCGTTGTCTTCACCCCACGCCCGCAGGACAACGGGTCATTCCTGCGATGTATAGCCGAGACTTTCGCCTTTCCTGCCACTCTGGAGGACACCTGGAACCTCACCGTGCTCTGTACGTAGCCTCCGTAGCCTCATCGTAGATAGTCCACGTTGCATCTGCAGCTTCGTCAATTCTGTAACAGCCATTACTGCATCAGGAGTTCTCATAGCCTCATCACACAGCTGCATCCGTAGCCGGAGCATAGCCCCTCTCTGCATCCGTAGTTTCAGTAGCCTCTACGATCTTCACTGTCTTGTTACAGGAAGACTTCATAATCTAATTGTACTCATCTCTAGGTATTTCGTATTTACCATAGTGCCATTAACCTCCGGAGCCTTTTGGTGTAGTCAGTCGTTGCGGTCTTCCTCAATCTCTCTTTATATGTTATGGTGTAAGACTTAATAGCCTAATGTGCAATATATTAGAATCGTTGTAGTCTCGTTGTGCAATGTCCTTAGCCCTTGCAACATTCAGTAGTTCTGCACATAGATCCATCGCCTACCATTGAATAATCAACATATTACAGCAAACCAAGGGCCACTGAGCGTCCCCACCCCCAACAACAAGTACAGTGGCAGGTGTTTAAGAGGAACTTGAAGGCGCGAGGGGTTTTGTTGCTTAGATCAATACAGACGAATTGGTAAATTCAACGTTTGTCTTTTTTTACATGATTGTACTTGTATCTATTTATGTATTTTGCCTCTGTATGTTTGTAATTCTCTCTATATATATATCCCTTTATCTATCTCTCCATCAAAGGTTTTGATTTGTCTGAATTGGGTTATGCCGGGTTAAATTAGTTTGATTTTAATAAAAAAACAAAAACAAAAATAATCCATTGGCAAACCGCCATATTTACGAAATAGGTGGGGGGTAGAAACAGCGTAAGCTACTCTATCCCTTTTAGATGTATTTTATTGTCTCAATAAACGTACTTGAGCTTTACGAAATAAGCTGTATCCTAATAGAAAATATAACCTTCACATCCGCCAGACGTTCCGCGGGCCCAGTGTGGGTATGGAGCGTCGCTGGACGCTGACAACATCAAGGAAGGGGATGATGTGTACTTTGAGTGCTCCCTGGACGCCAACCCACCCGCCACCCGCATCTCCTGGCAACACAACGTGAGGCTCCAGCCACTGCTGACATTCTGCATTGATATCCCATAAGCTCTGTTTTTGAAACTCTGATTATAGCTAATGTTTTCCCATGACCAGATACACTTGTTTTCCCTCAGGCACTTGTTCACCCTCTAGCACGTGTTCACCCTCTAGCACGTGTTCACCCTCTAACACGTGTTCACCCTCTAACACGTGTTCCTCATCTAGCACTTCATACTTCAGCATTTGTTCTCCTATCAATAATTGTTCACTTGCTCTCCATCTACTCTACTTCTTCCTGTTGGCCTATAACAAATTCCTCATCGTTTTGTTCATGTTCCAACCACGTGTTCTCTTGCAGAACATGGCGCTGACTCAGAACGTGTCCGGAGGGGTGATAATGAGCAACCAGACGCTAGTGCTGCAGAAGGTGGGTCGGTGGCGCGCCGGTCTCTACTCCTGCCACGCCCACAATGATGTGGGCGTGGGCGTCTCCAGCCCACTCTCCCTCGATGTCAAGTGTGAGTACGTGAGGGGTGTGTGTGTATTGCTTGGAGGGTCGAGCGTCTGCTCCCAAGCCCCGCCTTTTGGCTGTCATTAGTTCAGTACAGGAACTCTTTTTTTTTCTACTCGTTTTTTGTTATGTTTACATTTAAAGTTGTGTATCGAATTGGCTTTGTGCACGCAGGTGTGTGTGTGTGTGTGTGTGTGTGTGTGTGTGTGTGCACGCAGGTGTGTGTGTACGTGGGTGTGTGTGTGTAAATGTTTGTACGTCGGGGTGTGTGTGCAAGTGTGTGTACATGGAGGCATGGGTAAGTATCTACGTGTGAGTGTGGGTTAGTGTATGTGTGGGTGTGGATAAATATATGAGTACGTAGGGATGTGGGTAAGCGTGAAAATAAGAATGTGAGTACACTGGTGTTTAGGTGGGGAGAGTGCACGTGGGGGTGTGGGTAAGTGTGAGGGCAAGAATGAGAGTACCCAGGTGTGTGTAGGTGGCTGTATGGTTGCGTGGGGTGAGTATGAACGTGAATGTGTGTGTGTGGATGAATGCACGTGATAGGACGTGTTTAGTGTATGAGTGTGTGTGAGTGTAAGGACGTGAGTGTAAGGGCGTGAGTGTAAGTGTGTGAGTGCTAGGAAAGCTCCTGTGTAGTAAGTGTGGGGAAGTACATATGTATCTTCTAGTCGTTGAACACCTACACATTATTAATACATATAATAATGAACAGAATGATTAAAGCTGTTTTAATAATAATAATAATATTAATACTAAATAATATTAATAACATCAATAATTAATAATATTAATAATAATATTAATAATTAATAATAATAATATTAAGAATTAATAATATAGTAATAATAGTAATAGCAGCAACAGTAATACAAGTCTTTCTAAATATTCTAAATTCTAAGAGTGATAGCATAGCCTTCACATGCGTCAAGAGTTCAGTGAAAGGCAAAGCTCTTGAAACGTGTAAATGAATTTACTGTAGTGTTCCCCTCCTCACTACAGTAGCACCTCTCCGTACTTTGCCCCCTCGAGACGGCCGCTTCGGGGGATTAACTTTTGAACTGCAGCTGTGAGGAGAGTTAAAGTTTGTTGAAAATGTTGCATCTATAAAGATTCGCAGGGGAATTTGCATTGCCTTCTTGATCAAAAAGAATGGCTTTTAGCTCTCCCTGTGAGGAAACGAGGTGGTGAAAATTGTCTTTTTTTTGTATATGTGTGTGTGTGTGTGTGTGTGTGTGTGTGTGTGTGTGTGTGTGTGTGTGTGTGTGTGTGTGTGTGTGTGTGTGTGTCTTGTCGTAATTCACACGTTCCAGTGCCTCTTCCTCTCGTTTTTATTTGTTGCTGGAAGGATATAAAATTTGATTGTAAACATTTCCTCAGTGCGAGACGCGAGGAAATAAGAAATGGGAGTAAGGAGGTGCAGGAAGTGCAGTTCATGATGTGAGCTTGGCCAACAGTTCAGGCAGCAACAGAGACAGGCAGGCAGGGATACAAACAAGCAGACAGGCTGGTAGTTAGGCAGGCAGGCAGGCAAGCAAATAGACAGATACGGAGTCAGCCAGTCAGGCAGGCAGCCAAGCAGGTAAGTACACAGAGGCAGGTAGCCAGGCAATACAATAAGAGACAATGCAAATAGACGCATATTTTTTCAGTCCAAATCGTTGTGCTTATTCAACGACAAATGTAAAGGTTGGATCGGCCTCTCTCAGAACTAACTTGCAGAAAGCAACTCTTGTTGTGCCACCAGCACTCTTGTTGTGCCACCAGCACTCTTGTTGACGCACCAGCACTCTTGTTGACGCACCAGGGATCTCGTTGACGCACCAGCACACTTTTCAGAGTGTGGGTATCGCAGCATATTCTCACAGTGTCTGTGACTATCACTATTCCGGAAACTGAATGCTTCTTAGTCTCTTATTTTTATCCCATACGACACTCATCTTACAGAATAAACAACCATCCTAGCTATTGCTGCACAACCCTTTTTTGACCTATCAGTCAAAAAAACCTTCCTAGAAATTTGAGTTTGATCTTAAGACTAATAAATTGTCCTTCTCCCAGGTTTATGCTATAATGAGAGGGGGCGACAATGTCCTTGTCAATGACCTAATAAAAGCATTCTACGCCCATAACACCCACAGACGCGCCAGTGTGTTCCCTGGGCCAGGTCACAACCTACGCCGTTGAGCGGTACGAGGACGCCCAGGTCACGTGCTCTGTGGAGGCTAACCCCGCTCAAAAGTCCTTTCAGTGGACGTTCAACAACACAGCAGACACCATCGAAGTCCCCCAAGGTCGCTACACCTCATCCAGCAGTCACAGTGTCATCACCTACACCCCCATGACCCTTCTGGACTACGGTACTCTCCTCTGCTGGGCCGCCAACGAAATTGGGATACAGAGAGAGCCTTGCGTCTTCCACATTGTACCGGCAGGTGGGTAAAAACAGGGCCAGATATAACTGTGTTTGGGCCCCTAGGCCAAAACAGCTAGATGCGTCCCACCCTCTGGTCAGTGTGGCTATTCAAACACATATATGTAGACAGCTGGTGGGCCCTCTAGTGCTGGTGGGCCGTAGGCCACCAGCTCCATAGGCCTCGTATTGAGGCCTCTGTATCAATTACTGTATTGAGACTTACAGGGTGACCATTTAGAGAGAGAAGGATTGAGAAAGGAAAGGATTTAGAGTGGGAGGGATTTAGAAATGGAGTGGTTTAGAGAAGAGTGGATTTAAAGAGGGAGCAATTTAGAGAGGAATGAATATAAATGCATAAAAATACACGTTATTTGTCTAACAAAAACAAATAATTTGTATACTTTTCCTTTTTGAAATTTTGAAATTCAAAATCATAGAAAAACAATGAGAATTAAAGATTAGCACATAAAGAGGTATATAATACCCCTGCCTCCCTGGTCGATAGAATGACGGCCTTGCGGTATCGGCGTTCGATCCAAGATAGTCAAAGTGGTCGGGCACTGTTTCTTTCTCCACTCCTCTTACCCCTACCCCTTATCCCAATACCCATGTTCATTATCCCCACATCTCGGTTCCTTATCCTAATATCGCAGTTCCTCGTATCCATTCTTCTTTCTCTGCGCTTGTTCCTGATAATCACCTTACCTCCCTACTTCCCTCTTCAGGAAAACCAGAATCTCCTGGGAACTGCACAGTGGAGGGACTGACTCGCACCTCCATCAGGGTGAGGTGTGAGGCAGGAGGCAGTGGAGGCCTCCCTCAGCACTTCCTCCTTCAGGCTACCAGTCTCCTCCATCACCACCAAGGTGGCCTCCACCGCCTCAACCTCACCGCCCTCTCCACCCCAGACTTCACCGTGAGTTGCTACGGGGTTCATAAACCTTTTGCTATTTATTGTCTGTTACCTCGACGATGCTTTTTATGGATTGGAAGTGATGCTCCATCATCTTTCTGTGTATATATCTGTTTATCTTTTTATCTATATCTATATATCTGTGTTTATTCACTCGCCAGTGGAATCTCACTGAGTTCATTTTAAAAAATTTATCACACCCTCTCTGGTTACTGCACGAGTAATCTTCTATATTCGTTTCAGTCCAGTTATTCTATCACCAGTCGAATTGTTGTGTGCGAGAGAGACAGCCATATATATATATATATATATAATATATATATATATATATATATATATATATATATATATATATATATATATATATATTATATAGATATATATATATATATATATATATATATATATATATATATATATATATATATATATATATATATATATATATATATATATATATATATATATATATATATATATATTATATATATATATAATATATATATATATATATATATATATATATATATATATATATATATATATATATATATATATATATATATATATATATATATATATGAAGGTGAGTTCTCAACTGGAATCCCATAATCCAGGGCTCAACTGGCCGTGGGATGGAACAGTAAAATCCAGCGAAGGAAGTTTAAATGTTTTGTAAAGAAAATAGAGAAGAATTAAAATAAAATAATTAAATAAGTTAGATGCGTACACAATACTTCTCAGGTGGCACTGTCTCTTTAATATGCCCGCCTCACAGGTGGTGATTATGTCCCCCTCACAGGTGGAACGGGAGTACCAGATGAACTGCAGCGCAGTTGAATCACTAATGGTCATGGGTTCGATTCCCTAGCAGGGCGAGACGTTTCCAAACATCTGATGCCTCTTTTCGTCTACCGGTAAATAGGGACCAGGGAGTTAAACAACTTTTGTGGGATGGATTCTGGGAAAAGTCAGTCGTAGGCGTAGGTTAATCTCCATAAATCTAACAGGGTTCTTGCCCCCGAAAATGGGGAAATAGGACTGAAAGAGAATGGGGAACCAGAGGCTGTGTCCACGTTACTACCCCGCTTTCCCCATGGTGTATTTGGATACATGAAGATGGGAGTACCAGGGGGGGGGGGGTACAGGTGAATGTGAAGTACCAAATTGTACCACAGAAGTGGCAGGTGCCAGGTGGTATCAGGAGACTTTTCGCACACACAGGTGGATGGGTTGCAGGAAGGAGGAAAGTACCGGCTAGTAATTACGGCAGTAAATGACAAGGGTGCCAGCAGTGGCACTCGCCTTACCATCATCAGTGCCGGCCCTGACGACCCTCTCTACCAGCTCCACGGTTAGTGGACCCTTCTTAGTTCGCTATATTGAACCCTCATTTTAATGACAATATTTACACTAATAATAACAATAATAATACTAATGCTTTGGTACATAAAAATAATAATAATAACAGTAGTAATGCAATCAAATAATAATATATAGATTTAAAATAATATAGAAATATTTTGTTACAAGTAATACAATATCCATCGACATTGAGGAAAATTAATACAATGGTACTTGAAACACTAAAATTAATAATAATAATAATGATTCCTTCGCATTAGACGGTCCGCTGGAAGCCGAGGTACGCGACGGGGGACAGACAGCGACAGTGAACAAGGACCTCTCAACAGACGGAACCTCGCCTCGTTGGTGGACCAGCACTATTGGCCCGCCGTCTCTCATCCTTGGCGCCCTAGCCCTGGTCTCAGGGCTGGTCCTGCTGGCAATCCTAGGACTGCTGTTCGTCACCATCCACAGCAGGAGGGTGGTGGTGGTGGTGGAGACGGCGGCGACGACGACGCCTCGGCAGCTGCTGCCACTGTCTGAGACGCTTATGCATGCTGGTGCTGTGGTGGGTGTTCGGGCCGCTGTGACGAGTGCTGAGTACTGTAGCAGCGGGAGCTTCGTCGTGTCCCCTGGCGGTGTTGTACTGGTAAACACACGTTTTCTAACAAATTTTCTCGCCCGACCACTTGAGCTATACGGTAGAGCGTCGGTCTCGCTTCATGCAGGTCGGCGTTCGATTTCCGACCGTCCAAGTGGTTGGGCACCATTCCTATCCCTCGTCCCGTCCAAAATCCTTATCCTGACCTCTTCCCAGTTATATGTAGTCGTAATGGCTTGGCACTCTCCCCCTGATACTTCCTTCCTTCCTTCCTTCCTTCCTTTCCTGTCTTTCTTGTTTTCTTAAGTGCCTCTCCGTGACTCTCTCTCTGTCCTTGCCTCTCCTTTGTCTCTCCCTTGCCTCCCCCATTCCATTTTCTTCCTTTCTTAAACAAAAACTTTTTCTCTTCAAAGTCTTGAAAGTCCGAAGGACAGATTGGGAATAGAGACAAAAGAGAGAGAGAGAGAGAGAGAGAGAGAGAGAGAGAGAGAGAGAGAGAGAGAGAGAGAGAGAGAGAGAGAGAGAGAGAGAGAGAGAGAGAGAGAGGATTTCCTAACTTGAAAAAGATCATTAAATGTAATTACAGACATTGCCGTTAGTCTCCGAACCAGTTTGAATTACATTAATGAAATTGTGTTCTAATTACATCTATTACATTTTATTATTTCATTACAGTGACTGTTATCTTCCCCTTCTTGCGACACATGAGCTTATGTAGGCCTTTGACCGGGGCTTCATGACACCGTTGTCACTGCCTCCATTAACAACATTACAGTGACTGATGCTACTGTTAATAAGTGCATTAGTGCTGCTAGTACTATTTGTCCCAATAACGCTACGATTACTAATAAATCTGATGCTGCAATTAATATTACGGCTATTGCAGCTATTGTTCAATTACTGTTGCTATTGTTTCTGCTGCTGGTACTGCTACTAAGACTACTTCTACTACTGTTCGTTTCAGTGCTCTGAGACATCTAATGCTCCTTGCTGCTCTTGCTATGGTTACCACCTGAAAATAAAAAAATAAGTCAATAACGGGAGATTTTTCACTTTCCTACAGCATCAGCAAGCAGAGCGAGGTAGTGAAGGGGATCCGGATCTCCTCCCGCTGCAGCAGACGCCCTTCAGACGTGAGGTGATAGACCCAGGGACGGAAGCAGCCACTATCCTCCCTCCTGAAGAGTACCACTACTCCCCAGTCCAGACCTGCCTCCAACCCTACACAACCCACCACCTCCTCCCTACCACCGTAAGTAATACGCATCTTTATTAACAACACGTGGCTCGTTTCTATGTTAAAACTGTTTATATATATATATATATATATATATATATATATATATATATATATATATATATATATATATATATATATACACACACTTGAGAGGATCCTGGCGGTGCCCGGGATAGTTTCTCTTTCACCATATGTCCCATTCTCTCCTCTTCTCTCACTACACCCCTCTCTCATACCCCTTTATTCTTTTCCCTTTCCTGCCTTTCTCTGCTTCTCTCCCATCTCTCCAATATGCCCCCTTCGCACCAAATCGACTCCCCAAATTCCCTACTCTCCCCCTCTCCCCTTTCGTCCCCATTTGGCTTTCATACTCGAACAAACACATTTCCATTTTATCCTGCATTCTTTGTTCTGTTTTATTAACATTTAGGTACATCTGCATTAGTGCTGCCACCCTCGACGTCTTCATTACGTTCAAGTGAAGAAATCGGGGGATTCGACCAATCGCCTTTCAACGATTTTTGTAGGGATCAATATGGTTATTATTTTGGCTTACCGTGTTTTTATTAAACCATTAGGACCGACCTCCGACCAGCTTATGTCCGTTCCTTACACAAGACCATTTCTTCTGCAGAGTTGCTTGAGACAGTCTTAAGCATCTCCTTCAACCTTGTATAGACATCGTACAGACTAATAGTTATTCTCTCTCTCTCTTAGTTATATATAATGTATATCAATAAATGGAACTGGCTGTGTCTGTCTGTCTGAGGCTAGATGATAGACGCTTGAGGGCTAACTTCACCAAATTCTCCCAGTAATTAGTTGTTGGGTACCTGCCTAACATCGGCGAGTCGGGATTGTTGACTGAAAAAAAAGAGGGTCACTCAAAAAAGGTCACAAGCGACAATACCTTTTTTTCACTCTCACGAACATCTGGCAATACTCGACCTGAATTATTATTATTCTGTTGTGGTAATTATGGAAACTATATATGCTGATCATGGCAAAATTAGAAGAAAAATCTAATTATAATGACTTTACTGATATTTTTTCCTCAAGATTTAATGTATTGTGTGTTGCTGAAACGACTGTGGAAAGTGTTCTTATAGTGCTTTAGATTAATGATATTGTAGAAGAGGGAGAGAGAGAGGGAGAGAGAGAGGGAGGGGGAGGGAAGATTGGGATAAGGGGGAGGGATAGTAGTAGTGGGGAGTGAAGGGAGAAGGGAGAGAGAGGAAGGGAAGGGAAGAGAGAAGAGAAAAGGGGGAAAAGAGGAGGACAGAGGGAAGAGAGGGAGGGGTGGAGGGCAGGAAGAAGGGGTAAGGGGGGGGAAAAGAGAATTGAGAGGAGGAATGAAGAAGAAGAAAGGGGGGGGGGACTAGGAGCAGAAGAGAGGCGCGCGCGCGCGTGTGAATAGAGCAGAAGCAGACAATTAATTATACATCGCTTCACTTCAGTTGTGGCTGCAATATAGATACCTCTGTCTAAGCGCCTCAATGTGGTAATTAATCTCCTTGTGTATTAATCTTGGTGGTTGTCCTTCTCCGTGGTGCCAGCATCACCTTCCCCAGGTGTGAGGGGACTCTCAGGGGGCCCCAGCCAGGCCCTGATTGACGCGAGGACGCCGTCCCTGGCACAAGGATGCTGAGGTTAGTTGTTATAGCGATGCTGAGTCACATTGGGGATGTTTGGAGGGCGATGAGTAATGTTGAGAGTAACACGGGTGTTGGTAAACATGAGGTGAGTATTATTAAGAGTGAGATGAGTGATATCTGAGGGAAAATGAGTGATGGTGATCGTGAGGTTTCCTCATCCCTCACTCTTAAAAGGCCAAGCAGATTCTCTCATGCAGTGACCACAATTATCTTACCCACCAGTAGTACCCATACTTACCTTGCCTTTCTATAGGACCCAGAGTTACCTCACCCTCACTCCTGTAGAGCCTAAGAGGCTCTACCTTGCTCATCTCCAAGGAATTATGAAAGTCACTTGCCAATAAACAATCCGCAACAATATTGCTAGAGAGGTTGCTACCTGTGATACCATTAATATTTCTTAATCATCAGAAAATTTAATATAAATCTTAATGCGTTCAATCATAATTTTTTTTTAACTAAGTTGACATACTTCTTTATAAGAATGGCAGGTCACTGACATATTCATGATTCAGAAAATTAATTGTTTGAGTTTAAGTTTAATATGACTGTGTGTGTGTGGTCATCAGAGAGTCCTCGCTGTGGTTGTGTTGGCTAAGATGGATAGATCAACGTCCCAGCATCACCTGACCTGCCGTCCAGAGCTCTTAACCTTGCTTGTCAACACGATATACTAATATCCTGATGTAGGCAAGTATTTCAACTGTAATGTGTACACACAAGCATACACATGCATGTACACATGTACACTCCCTGACACACACGAACACATGTATGCACGCATATATATATATATATATATATATATATATATATATATATATATATATATATATATATATATATATATATATATATATATATATATTATCCCCTGGCAGGAAGAAAGGACCCATAGCCTCGTAGAAAAGCATGTACAAAGCATTAGAGGTAATTTTTAAATCCCTCCCAGTACTGTTTCCATGTTCTTTTGTCCTACCACTCCTTTCCTATATGTTTAAATCATTCACCTTCAATCCATAACTTTCAAAATAACTGTACTGTCAAAATCTTTGGTTTTCAAATCAAACTGATAAAGATGTTAGATTATTCCATTTCTAATATAACTTCAATTAGACTTTTTGTCTTTCCGGTTAGACAGTGAGACGATGAGGTGTGATGGGTGAGAGGGGCACTGGGAACAGGAACGTGGCAAAGCTGGTAGAAGAGGAATGCTGTGTGGAAAATGTCGAACATCGTGAATGAAATTCAGGAGTAATCCTGAAATGATGCTTGAGAGGTAAGTTGATCACGTGTCCACTGGGTAACAAGAACCGTTAAGAGTTTGCAACCCAACTGTCCACTTTTGCTAATATCAAGGAAATAGTTATCTTTTAGCTAAAGAAATTTAAGAAAATAACAGATCTCTCTCTGTTAGAGAGAGATCTGTTGATGATGAGATCGCCTCTCTCTCTCTCTCTCTCTCTCTCTCTCTCTCTCTCTCTATATATATATATATATATATATATATATATATATATATATATATATATATATATATATATATATATATATATATATATACTATTTATTTATTTATTTATTTGTTTCAGTGATGCCCACAACACTTCTTGAATACAAGAGGCTTTGGTTGACGAGAAAAGTGTATTGGCAAAAACTCACACACACACACACACACACACACACACACACACACACACACACACACACACACACACACACACACACTCGGTAAGAACAAAGCAGCTGGCCCAGATGGCGTTTCACCATGGGTTCTGAGAGAATGTGCATCTGAGCTCAGCATTCCACTTCACCTGATCTTTCAGGGATCCCTGTGTACAGGAATCGTAGCAGACGGGTGGAAACAGGCTAACATAGTTCCAATCTACAAAAGTGGCAGCAGGGAAGACCCCCTCAATTATAGACCTGTATCATTGACAAGTGTAATAGTGAAAGTATTGGAAAAACTAATCAAAACTAAATGGGTAGAACACCTAGAGAGAAATGATATAATATCAGACAGACAGTATGGTTTTCGATCTGGAAGATCCTGTGTATCGAATTTACTCAATTTCTATGATCGAGCCACAGAGATATTACAGGAAAGAGATGGTTGGGTTGACTGCATCTATCTGGACCTAAAAAAGGCTTTCGACAGAGTTCCACATAAGAGGTTGTTCTGGAAACTGGAAAATATTGGAGGGGTGACAGGTAAGCTTCTATCATGGATGAAAAATTTTCTGACTGATAGAAAAATGAGGGCAGTAATCAGAGGCAATGTATCAGAATGGAGAAATGTCACAAGTGGAGTACCACAGGGTTCAGTTCTTGCACCAGTGATGTTTATTGTGTACATAAATGATCTACCAGTTGGTACACAGAATTATATGAACATGTTTGCTGATGATGCTAAGATAATAGGAAGGATAAGAAATTTAGATGACTGTCATGCCCTTCAAGAAGACCTGGACAAAATAAGTATATGGAGCACCACTTGGCAAATGGAATTTAATGTTAATAAATGTCATGTTATGGAATGTGGAATAGGAGAACATAGACCCCACACAACCTATATATTATGTGAGAAATCTTTAAAGAATTCTGATAAAGAAAGAGATCTAGGAGTGGTTCTAGATAGAAAACTATCACCTGAGGACCACATAAAGAATATTGTGCAAGGAGCCTATGCTATGCTTTCTAACTTCAGAATTGCATTTAAATACATGGATGGCGATATACTAAAGAAATTGTTCATGACTTTTGTTAGGCCAAAGCTAGAATATGCAGCTGTTGTGTGGTGCCCATATCTTAAGAAGCACATCA